ATATTTTGGTGTTCGTTTGACTTTATTTTACATGAAAATTTTCAATTAAAGGGATAAAATTTACTAATATTGGGATGAAATTTTTTTTTTGCATTGCCAAAAATAAAAAAAATTCAAGAAAATCATCTATCTTTTTATGTTCATTTGACTTTATTTTACATGAAAATTGTCAATTAAAGGGAAATATTTTTTACAATAATTTTTAGAATTTGTTTCCATTACCAACACACACAAAAATCGAAAAAAATAAACAAAATGCTACAGTAACATGGAATTCCAATTCTCACCATTTTGGTGAGAATTGATTTTCCTTAAAAACCAAAAAAAGATCAATTCCCAAGACAAGCAAGAAAAGGTAATTCCAAGGAAATAAAACCTTATCAAACTCCGTAAAGTTGGAAAATGAAATTCTATTTCCATTTTCCACGGAAAAAACCACATATCAAACACTACCTTAGTTCTAAATAAGGGCATAATAGCCTTTTTTTTTTTTTAACAATCAAACTAATGGTTTCATCCAATCTCACATATTGAAATAGGTTGGAGATCAAAACCTCACTTTTGAAGGTTATGGAGCCACTCAAACTAGCTGAAAAGTTGTGAGCTCAACCCTAATTTTTCCTTTATTATTAGATAGAATAGATCATTTAAAAAAATACATTTGTTCCCTATTTAGTAGCTTGAGCTTTTAGATTGGAAGTGCGGTGGGGGTTAACATGGGGTTAGAGTCAAACAAAAGTCCTGGTTCAAGTCTTGTCGCCACCCATTTATAAGATGATTTGACATTTGATGAAAAATGTTTGCTTGTAAAGGAGTGTTTTAAAGACAGTTTTAAATCAATATATGGTTTGTCTCTTATGGCTTAATCTGTTGAATATGATTGTTAATAGCCTTATTACTTTTGATTCCTTAAAGACTTCTTCATTCCAGAGGAGAACATTGATATAAGTGTTTACTTGACCCCGATAGAATAAAATTTTGATACAATGGTTGTTAATGCAAGATACAACTTGGGCAGCCTTCAACTGTCAAGGTTGCTGCAAACCTTGTCAGTTATTATCTTACAATAATAAGGTATGTATTTAATTTTTTTTTCATCCTGTCTCCTAAACATATATATAATATATGTACGTTAAAACCTTTTGCATTTGAAAGTACCTTCAAAGGAAATATTTTTCATTTTGATACTAGGAATTAGTAGTTATATACTCAAATTTGGATCCTTGAAATATAAACTCATTAGCATGGTTTTTGTTACATTTTGTGCTCCAAATTAGGGAGGATTTTTTGAAAAATATTATTTTTTTATTTTCACGTGATTTTATTGGAAAATATTGTTTCCTTATTATCACGCGATTTTATTGAAAAAATATTCTTTTCTTAATTTCACATTATTTTTTATATTATTTTCATTTTTGGTATGCTATGTACCTATAAATAGTGGCATCTTCATTCAGTTTTGTTTAAGAAAAATTGTTGTTGTAATTTTCTCTCCATATTCTTATAATATAACATCATTTCTTCTGTTAAACTCTTTTTGATTTCTTTACTTTAAATCTTATTTCATTTTTGTGATCTTGTTACATATTTCATATAACGTCAATAATCTCAATCTTTGCGGCACCTTTGGGATCAACAAGTGATATCAGAGTTAGGTTGCAAGTTCTTCATGATTTGATTGGGATTTTTTAGAGATGGCCACATTAAAATATGATATTCCGCTGTTGAATCATAATACAAGATTTTCTCTATAGCAAGTAAAGATGAGGGCTATTCTGGCGCAGTTGGATATGGACGATGCGTTGTTCGATTTTGAAAAGATGCCAACTAATTGGACAATGGAGGAGAAATAACGGAGAGATTGGAAAGCTTTATCACAGATTCATCTTCATTTATCAACTAATTTTCTGCGCGACTTCTTGAAGGAGAAAACAACGGCTACTTTATGGTTGAAACTAGAGCAGTTGTGCATGACTAGAGTCTCACTAGCAAACTGGCTCTAGAGCAAAAGATGTATTCCCATCGCATGGCGGAAGGAAGATCACTGGAAAACCACATTACTATGTTCAAGGAAATAGTTACAGATTTAGAGACATCGAATGTTAAGTACAATAAGTAGAACTTGGGCTTGATCTTGTTGTGTTCGTTGCCTGCCTCCTATTTGTCATTTTGGGACACCATCTTGTACAATCTTGATATTTTGACAATTGAGGATGTCTATGATACTTTGTTCTCAAATGAGAAGATAAAACATTTGGTTGGAACAATACCGAGAGATGAGGAAGCTCTGGTATCTCATGGTGATCGATGGAAGGGTAGATTGGGGATGAACTTTAGTAATTTGTACTGCTTCTATTGCAGGAGGAAAGGACACGCTAAGAAAGATTGTGATAAGTTGTAAGCTACAGGTAATTTAGCTGCAAATCATAGAGGATAATCACGTAATTCGGACGAGACTAATGTTACTAAGGATTTTTTGAATGGCGATGATGTGATGTTGATTGTGGCATCAGATGTGGAGTATAAACCTGACGATGAGTGGATTCTCAATTCAGCATATTTGTACCATATGTGTTCCAATGGAATTTCTTTCAGACATATAAGGCTGTTAAACAATGTCGAGTTGTGATGAGAAACAACCAGTCTTGCCGTGTTGCTGGAATTTGTAGAGTCAGATCAAGGTTGCAGGATGGGACAGTCAAAACAATGATCAGGTTCGACATGTTCCAGACCTGAAAAGGAATCTCATCTCGGTGAGTACCTTGTTTACAAAATGGTATAATTTCTCTGGTGGAGGTGGAGTTTTGAAGGTCTAAAGGGGTGTCCGAGTTGTACTGGGGGAGGACGGAAGAAGTCTCAATTGTACATCTTGCAGGGAAGCACAGAACCAATTAAGAGACATCTGGACAAGTTCAATACCGTGATGGAAATATAGTTTTGTACAGTACCTGTTGTGACGAGTTCTGGGTCAGTTCAGATCATTACTTAAGAGAGTGTTGGTGGTTCCGCTTTGCCACCAATTTCAACGAATATACTATGTTCGGTTGCTAGGGTTGGATTCATTAAGTGTAGGCACGGCGGTGTTAGTGATGTCTGTAATGCTTTTGAGATCATTGAGGACGACAGTTCTACAAGAGGCCTTTTGATCAGGCATTTGGTATGGTTTTTTCTAAAGTATGCGTTTCGACCCTATTTGGTTAACAGTAATTCCCAGGTGAAATTTAGGAATCCGGGAGTAGCTCAAGTATCGCCTGTGAACCCCATGCAGAGGAAGATCTTTTGGCGATGGAGAGTTTTAGTTACTATGCTGAGGAGTTTGGTTATTTCGATGCAAAACGGATTTATTTCTCAAGTGGAGAAATTTTTGAGTTTCTTTCGTTGTACCGAAATTTGGGTTAAGTTGGAAATTATGAGATTTTGTGCCCCAAATTAGGGAGGGTTTTTTGAAAAATATTATTTCCTTATTTTCACGTGATTTTATTTGAAATATTGTTTCCGTATTTTCATTGATTTTATTGGAAAAATACTATTTTCTTAATTCCACATTATTTTTTATATTGTTCCATCTTTATGGTATGATATGTATCTATAAAAGTGGCTTCTTCATTCAGTTTTTTTTAAGCAAAAATTGCTTTGTTGTAATTTTCTTTCCATATTGTTATAATAAAAAATCGTTTTCTCTGCTTATCTGTCTTTGATTTCTTTATTTTAAATCTTGTTTCATCTTTGTGATCTTGTTATATATTTCATACAACGTCATGAATCTCAATCCTTACTTCACCTTTGGGATCAACAATTATTTGTAAAAATAATTGCATGATATTAAAAATTTTAAGCCATAAATGAAATATATTATAAGACGCATGGGTAGCTATCTCCCAATTTTGAAACTTCATGTGATATTTGTATCTTCTATTACAGGTGGAATGAGGGTCGATTATGTTCATAGTGTTTGGCATTTATATTTGTTTGGAATTTTATAATCCAGGCATTGTTTGGCATCAAATATTTGTCCGTTTTGTATAACCCTGATCAATGTACTGTTTTTTCTTGCTTATCCTCCAACAAGGATAGCCACGTTTAAATTGTTATATGGTAACATTGTTTGAGGGATAAGTTTTTCTTGCCCATCCTCTAACACAGTTCATAAACACGTTCTTAGTTTTATTTTGGCAAGACATTAAGCTTATTTATATATTTTATCTTTAGGATTTCAAATAGTGAAGCTATTAGATAATTAACGTTCACGTGTTCTTCTAGTTCACAAATCTTTTGTGTGATATGACACAATTAGGACTTTCAGCTAGTGTGGGATCAATTCCCTAATCATCAGAGTGAGGTTTTGACTTCCCAACTTATTTAGACATTTGAGATTAGATTTCCACGTGATGGAAACCCTTAAATGGTCAAAATTTCTTTAGAATGGTTGTTATGCCCTTATTATGAATTAAATACATAAGAAAAAAGTTAACCAAAATCTTAAAAGAATGACTTTTTTTTTCTTTTCATTTTTTTTGTTTGATATTTTTTTCTTTTAATATTTAGTCCTGAATAAGGGCATAATAGCCATTTTATTTTTATTTTTTTGACTTTTTAACAGTCAAACCAATGGTTTCCGCCACATAGGCATCCAATCTCACATACTTGAATAGGTAGGGGAGTCAAAGCCTCACTTTTGAAAGCATTGGAGCCTCTCACACTAGCTGAAAGGTTGGAGAGCTCAACCCTAATTTTCCCTTCATTACTACAGTTAGGGTCTTTGAAATTAGGACCGCACTATACGTACATAATGGTTTACCTAACTGTTTACCTACTACTCACATCATTTGGGTGGGACCTCGGTTTAGATTATTAAATAACACATGAGGCTCGCATGTTTGTGAGGGAGGTGTAAACGGTTCGGTACACCCCCTCAGTACAAATGGTTTATTCCTTGAAATTATTCCTTATCCTTATTTGAAATATGGTATTTATTTCGTACTTTACGATTTTGACTGCAGAATATGCTGCAAACCGGCCTCATTATTGGTGGATGGGACGAATATGCAGGTGGTAAAATATTTGGAATACCTTTGGGAGGGACAATACTAGAGTTGCCTTTTGCTATTGGAGGTGTGCCCTGCTCATTTTATTTTTATTTTATTATTTTTTCCAATCTTTTACAGACTCTTCTGGTTAGTTGTCACCACTATGTATTTTTGGGAGAACGTGTCTCTGTTGTGTGTGTATATATATATATATATATATATAATAAAAAACTTAGTCCTATAATAAAATCTGTATCCTTGATATTTAAAGGTCTAACCCATACAGATTCTTTTGGTAAAGTATACTCTATACTTTTACCACAATTTGTCTCAAAACTAATCTTACTATTTGATTGTAATAATTCTTTATAAGTATAAAGTTCTCCATCCATTTGTTGTGCTTCTATTGGTTTATCTGAGTATATTATATATTGTTCTGGTATTAGTTTTTTATTAATTATACAATTACTACATCCTGAGTCTATTAATCCTAAACATTTTATTTCGTACTGCACTTTTTCCTTTCAACACTTGTTTACAAACACTCGCCAATCATGTGCTAAGAACATTTTTTGACCAATATATTGTCATTTATTTTAGTTCATGCCTAGTATATTTTCTTGTGCACTCTTTCCTTTCAACACCCGCAATACGCCATTTGACCTGGCTATTTTTATTTCCCATGAAAATTGTTGGTATCAAGTGAAAAGCTTGTCCCCGCTTATTTCTGTTATTACGCCTCCGATGGCAACAAATCTTTGTTGGCCAAAATATTTGACAGTTTTTTTGTGATTCATCAGTAAAATATTTCTACATGGTTGAGGCAAAGAATTTAGACGATTTCTTTTTATTCCTATTTGTATGATTTCTTTGACCAAGTGTGGAAGGAAGGAATGACTCAAGAGGAAGCTGAGGTTTGTATTTTAATCTGTATACCTACTTACACTCTATGTCTAAGAACATATTATCCTGTGAACTCCACATTGCCTAAGGTTTTGAAATTACTTTCAAATGCACAATAATGACCAGGTGCGGAGCCAGCACCCGGCGAGGGGGCGCGGCCGCGCGTGCTGGATCCGCCGGAATCTGCAAAGCCGTCGGGTAAGTAAGGACTAAGGAGTTGCAGACAGCAGTTGCACCATTGGAGAAGACTGAAGAACAGAAGAATTCTGAAGAAGGAAGATGAAGATGGAGCCGCTCAGTCGCACAGCCGGGTTTTAATTTTTTTGGTTAGGTTTGGCCATTGGGCTTAAGTATATTAAATTCTGGGCCTATTTTTAGTTAATTTATTAAGCCCAGGAGAGTATTAGCCAACCCGTTAGTCCATAACCCATTTTATTTGGCCTTAATTTTCATTTTTCATTCCCAGATGCAAGGGCCAGCAGAAGACGAGTCATGAGAGGCAGCAGCAAGAAATTCTGAATTTCCCCCAAATTACCAAACCCTTTTCCTCAATCCTCACTTCTTCTTGCTCCAAATTCACACCACAAACTTCAGGCATCAGACTTTCGGACCGGTCAATGTCCGGTGAGTGGTTACTCCTTCTTTCAATCTTTATTATTATTATTTGTTTTTTTTTGGGTTTTGGTGTTGATGTGCGTAAAAATGCAAACAAATTTCAAGAATGGGAATTTGAAGAGTAATACTCTCCTGTCTCAGTGTCTCCTGAGTCCTGAAGGAACCTAGGAACGTGTGTGTGAGTTGTGACTTGTGAGAGAGGCGATGCCGCGAATGCGATGGCCGATGATGGTGATGGGGGTGGAATTTTATGTTCTTGACTTGTGATTTGTGAAGCAGTGAAGTGATAAATGGAATTCTGGAATGGAAAACTGAGAATTTGAAGAAGGGAATAAAGAATTTTATTTTCATAGAACAGAGGTTTTAGCTTCTAAATAGTGGGGACAGGACTTATGAGTTTAATTTTTTACATAAAAGAAATGCTCAACTTAAAGAAGAAAAATAATGAAACTTGTGTTTAAAGATTTTACTATTAGATTACCTAATGGTAAAAAGAGGATGCACGTTACACCAATTTCAGTATATTATTGAATTCTATATATCAATACTATGTCTGTCATTATGCTTGGTAGTTGACTGGTGGCATATTGGAAGTTCTTCACCCATATTTTATCATTTTGACTCAAAGTTAGTTTTGGTGTATTTTAGAATATAATTACCTACATTCACTTCCGGTTCTAGAAAATAATGAAGAGTAGGAATGAATATTATCCATGTTGTACTATGGATGTTTGACAAAATAGCATACTTCGTGTTCCCTTAATTAATGTAAATGAAGCTGGAAAATATTGAAAAAGAAGATGAATATGCCAAGAAAAAGGATTAAGAGATAATGATAGGTATATAAATTTGTGTAACAACTCACACTACCTTTTGGTCAGCTAGTCAAATCAACAAAGAATGTCCCATACTTATCTAGAGTCAGCTATGTTTTGGTAAATCTCTTCTATATAAAAATCGGGGGTTCTTTTGTAATCATCATTTGCATTTGCATTCCAATTTTATACTATATATTGCCTCTTGCTCCACTTGATAATGATGTGCAGTGATTAAGTTCTTAATTTTCAGATTTCTTTTGCAATGTTTAATTTTTTCCAATATTATTGGCATTTTATTGATTAATTTAGCTAACAATTAATGTGTGTTAATTTGTAATTCACGTTAATATGATTGTAGCTATTCTTATCTTTTCTCCAAGCATGTCTCAAATTTACATTTTATTGAAAAATAAAAAGAGTCCAGAGGTACTGAATCTTATTTGAGAATATTGGATCAAACCATGTCTTTTAGTTTCCCTTCTCATAAATTAGGTAATTTATGTGAATTTATGTTTATGAAATTGTATTTGCGAATTGTGATTTATGATGAGTAATTTATGATTTGATGAGGGAATATGATATTAGGAATGATTATTGATTTGGGAATTTACGTTTAAGATGACATTTTGCAGATTATGGAACGATTTTTTCAACCAAAGCAAAAGTTCATACCCAATTCTTCTACTTCTAGTTGTGGATCTAGTCCCGCCACTGATTCTAGTCGAGCACAAGAGTTATTGAATAACACAAAGAAGTCTCAGGCTCAATTTAATATGGATGATCTTGTATCTGTCCAGGGATACGCTCCCCTATCGAATCATATGATCCTAATATTAGAGATGTTGTTAGGATGTCATACTTGGAGAAGGGTCCTTGTCAACCATATGAACATGATTTTCCAAGAAGACCGATGGGGAATGATAATAGATGTTTTCGGAAAGAATGGTTCTCTGAATTTCATTGGTTGGAATACAATATAGAAAAGGATGCGGCGTATTGTTTGCATTGCTACCTGTTCAAACCTGATAGAGGGGGTCAAGGGGGTGGACATATATTTACTAAGACCGGTTTTAGGGATTGGAAGCACAAAAAGACATTGAAAGATCATGTCGGTCTCTTTGATAGTTCTCATAATCAAGCTTTTGCAAAGTGTACCAACTTGATGAATCAAAAGCAAAGTATCTCTTACGTTATTTCTAGCCAAAGTAGTAGTCAACAACAAAGTTATAGGACCAGGTTGACTGTAGTGCTAGATTGTACTAGACTCCTCTTGATGCAAGGATTGTCATTTCGTGGTCATGATGAATCGGAAGAGTCTCTTAATAGAGGAAATCTGATTGAGGTATTGAACTGGTATGCAGCTCGTTGTAAGGAAATTAAAGAAGCATTATTTAGTAATGCTCCTGGAAATGACCAAATGACTTCACCAACCATCCAAAAGGATTTGATTAATCGTTGTGCTGTAGAGACGACAAGGGCTATTATCAATGAGATTGGTGATTCTTTGTTTTCAATTTTAGTTGATGAGGCTCGCAATAATTCTATGAAAGAACAAATGGCAGTTGTTTTAAGGTTTGTTGATAAAAGTGGGCGAGTGAAGGAGCGTTTTTTGGGTATATCCCATGTCACTGATACTTGTGCCCAATCACTGAAAGATGTCATTGATGCAATATTTTCTACACATTTGTTGAGTATATCTAGTCTGAGAGGTTAAGGCTATGATGGAGCAAGTAATATGTCAGGTGAGTTCAATGGGTTGAAAGCTTTAATTTTTAGAGAGAACCCGCATGCTATGTATGTTCATTGCTTCGCTCACCAGTTTCAGTTGGCAATTGTATCTGTGGCACATAGGAATTGTATGGTTGGTGATTTTTTGGACGTACTTGCTATTATTGTGAATTTGGTTGGTGCATCATGTAAGCGTGTAGATGCTCTTCGAATAAGTTATCAAGCTAATATTCTGGAGAAACTTAATACTGGGGAACTTATTGGTGGAAGTGGTCAGTTTCAAGAAATGAGTTTGGCACGCCCAGGATATACTAGATGGGGCTCACATTTATTGACAGTTACTCGTTTCATTAATATGTTTAATGCTATTATAGATGTTCTTAAGAATATATCAGAAGATGCCATACATTCAGATGAAAAATCTTCGGCCTTAAAACAGATGAACAATATGCAAGATTTTGAGTTTGTGTTCAATCTTCACTTTATGTTTGAAATTCTTGCAATTACAGACGACCTTTCACAAGCCTTATAGAAAAAGGATTAGGATATTCAGAATGCTATGAGGTTATTGAATTTGTGTAAGTGTGCATTGCAGAACTTGAGAGAGAATGGTTGGGATACTTTATTCAGTAGGGTGATTGAGTTTTGTGTTGATAGACATATTTTAGTGCCTAATATGGAGGATATTGTAGTGGTGAAAGGTCGACCTAGGCGTGTAGCTCAACAGGTGACTTATTTTCATCGCTTTTATGTTGATTTGTATTGTCATGTGATAGACTCAATCTTGCAAGAGTTGAATGATCGATTTCCAGAAACAACTACTGAGCTCTTCACTTGCATTTAATGTTTAAATCCAAGAGATTCATTTGCAGCTTTTGATAAGGATAAATTGCTACGTTTTGCTCAGTTCTATCCTTTGGACTTCAATAGTGAAGAACTTTTATTACTTAGACCTCTGCTTGATAAGTTTTTTTTGCTTGTGAGAATGGACGAAGCTTTCTTTAATCTCAATAGTATATCCTGTGTAGCTCAGAAGTTGATTGAAACTAGAAGTTCCTGTTATTTTCCATTGGTTTATAGGCTGCCCACCTTGGCTTTGATATTACCTGTGGCAACTGCAAGTGTTGAAAGGGTATTTTCTGCTATGAATCTAAACAAGAGTGATTTGCGCAACAAAATGGGTGATATCTGGTTGAATGACAATTTGGTGGTTTACGTGGAGAAAGCTATTTTTAAACAAATTGAGAATGAGGCAATATTGCAACGTTTTCAAATTATGAGACCCCGTAGAATACAGTTGTCTAAGTTTACAGTTACAAAGTAACTGAGTAAGGTTGTATCGTATTTTTATTTTTTTACTATTTTGGGTTGTATCGAAGTATATTTTCATATGTATATGATTTTGACGTTTTAGTTCATTTACATATATATTGAATAACTTTTAATATTATGTAACCAAATTTTAATAAACGATCGAACAATTACAATTGTCGACAGTCAACGATCGTCGGTCAACGGTCAAACCGCCCTAGCTGAACATGAATCCTGGATTCGCCACTAATAATGACCATCTATTTAAAAACTACTTTTTCTATCCGAAGAAGATCTTTCTGTTGAAACGGTGTTGTTTTGTGAGAGCCTAGAAAGGATGTGCCAGGAGCTTTCATATAATGGCGTGCTTCTAATCCTTGACTTTCGTAATGAATATGAACTACCCAAAATTCATAATTACTTTTCTTGTTGGTCTGACATTTTCATAGTAATGGTCTTGTTTAGCATGCTTATCACTGATTGTTAATACATATTTTTCGTTGACTTTGCCACAGAAATTAGTGGTCAAGGCTGTGTCTCTTGCCATTGCTCATGATGATGATAGTGGTGGTGTTTTCGGATTATCGCCGTGAGTTTCTCAATTCTTGTTATCATCTGTGGCCTTTGTTGAACCTCCCACATATAAAGTGAAAATTGGATGTGAACTTTTTAAATCCCACCTCTGATTATTTTGTTTGTAATGGACATCTAACATGAGTTGAGTTCAGTTGAGTAAATTTTAGTTTAAAAGTGAAATTAGTCTATTGGTTGGCTGATTAATGAAAATTAAGAAGTTGGTTGAGAAGTCATCCTGAATGCCTTTGTTGTTTTGCTTCCACCAAGAATGTTATGTGGTATTTCTTTCTCTTAAGACATTGCTCCTCACTTGGATTGTATTGTGAGACGGATCAAGATACACGTATACAAAATAATGTTCTTTTTTAATCTGAATGTCTTGATCCATTTCGAATTCTTAGTGTTGGGTCATTGACTTTCATTGTACTTCATTTATTTTTGATTCACCCGGGTATGCCCAGAGTAATTGTATGCAACATTGGTTTTGTTTTGCCCGGGTATACCCGGTATACTTGTACATGATACATTTACCGATCCAAAAAAAAAAAGAAAAAAAAACTTCGTTTTACTCCACGTTTCGTTCACATTCTCAACCGGCCATGTTAATATTAAATTGCAGCTCACTTTTCTAATGCCTTCATAGAATTTCTACTATAACTAAATTGATACAAAAAAATTCGCGTTACAGTTAAAAAACACGTTCACGCTTTGTCAAAAAAGTTTCCAATAGTAAATATAACTTTGTTGTAAATGTCAACAATTTATAGTTAGTAGCCAGATTCCTTTTTGATAGTAGCTAGGGTCATGTGAGCAATAATTTAGCAATTACTCCTAAATTATGTTTATTATTAATTGTTTTTATACAATAAGATATTCATTGAAGAAACTTGTAATTAAATTATACACAATAATGAGGAAGGTAAAAAGCCTATGACATTGTGTCTATTCTAATGAAGGATCCAAAAAGGTAAGGAAAAGGTCTTACAATGAGATATCATATCATATATAGCACTCGTGTATTTCCACAAACCAGTAATAATAATAATAATAATAATAATAATAATAATAATAATAATAATAATAAAAATGAGAATATTTTAATTTCACCACGCTGCCACCCCATTAGGATTAAAGATTAATCTTCTCATACCTACTAAAAATAAAGATACATTTCTCGCCACAAAATTTAACTTTGTTGAATACTACAATTTTATAAAATTGCCACTAATATATCATTGAATATTCTATTATTGATGGCAATGGGACGGGTTCGGGGGCACCCCCGCCCCGCCTTGCCTTAGACAGGGCTGCCCTTTTTTTTTCACAATTTAAAAACCTGGGGCACATCGTGGAGGATTTACGGCAATTGGTGTAATTGACAACCAGGTAACGGCTGCAGTTTTTTTTATGATGAACTAACGAGTTTGAAGAGCACTTCGAACTATTGAGCGTTCCCTGTAGAGCAAAGATGGAAGGCATAATTTGTCCTTTTAGTCATAGTAGGAATAGGGACTGTAGTCGGGGCAAATTGTCATCCCGTCATTTAACAACTATATTTAGCATAACAAATTACAATTTCTTGAATTTGTTATTTTTTTCTTCTTAATATTTGTTTAATACTATTTAGTCGAGTATACCAAATTGTGTAAAGATCCACTGATCTTCAACTAAAGATTGAATCTAAACATTTTATACCTCAGAAACTATAGACATACAGATTACAAGCTCTTAACTTTTGCAGCTTTCTTTGCAATGAACAATCTTCTATATTAGCAACCAAAAAAAGGAAATTATTACTTTTAAGCTTTATATTGATCCAATCAACCTGAAAATGGCAAAAATATGTTATAATAGAGAGCAACTTGTTTAATACTATCTAGTCGAGTATGGCAAACAACGTAAAGATCCACGAATCTTCAGCTAAAGACTTCATTAAAAGGTTGATTCTAAACATTTTTATACACTCAGAAACTACATACATACAGATTACAGCTCTTGCTCTTGTAGCTCTCTTTGCATTGAAGAATCTTCTATATTAGTAACCAAAAGAATGAAAATACTACTTCTAAGCTTGTATTTATCCAGTTGAAGTTCTATACCTTGATCCTGAATGGCAAAAATATGTTATACTAGAGAGCAACTTCTATGGATATCAATGATAAGCTTCCAACACGGAAGAAGAATTACTAAAAATTAACATGAACGAGCTAATTTACACCATTATTAGAGCTGCTACAAGCTCGATTCTGAATAACACTGTTCCCGAAATCTCCGTCCAAGCTCATTTGTTGGACTTCTCGAGGAGAAAGAATCTTGATGCAACGAACGTAGTTCACAAATACCCTGTGTGCAACAAGTGACTACATAAATATACAAATCAAGGTGGGGATTTTACAACCGAATGGAAAGGCAATACAGAATTGTGTGTTTGAAGACTTACTCCCAAGGATCGTCCCCAACTAACAGGACATCATTCTCATGATCCACGTAAACAAGTTTCCAACCAATTCTTTGACGGTCCTCCAATTGTCCCTCTATACCAAATCTACGAGCTAGATCCTGTTTGAGCTCTTCATAGCCCGAGTAACGCGTTATATCGATTGACCTTCCAACGGCTCCACGCTTGTATACCTTCAATAACATTCTTGGTAATTCAGGTCGCAGAACATAAATGAAAAGATAACCTGAGGCAGATAAACAGATGCTTCTTTATAAAAACAAACCTTTGTATATGTTCGTAACCGTGGCATCTGTGCTGGAGTCCAAGCACCTCCATTCATGAAGCTGCTGTCATTTGTCGTGGAATCATTTGAATTGAATGTCATATCAGGAACTCCAAATGACTGGGAAACCATTGCCGATGAGAGTTCGGGTTGAGTTTCCTTGGGGTTCACAACGTTGGAAAGCATATCTCCTCCTGATGTGAGACCATTCGAGAAGTCCTTACCCAATCTCTCCATACCTTTTGTGATCAATGAATCCGGCATCATGGGCATCCCTAATTGGTTGTCAATGTTCGCTGTTAGAGGAAAACTGTTCCTTGGATCACCCTGAACTTTGTCATGACTTGCATCTATAAACATCATTGACTGAGAATTGAATGACATTAAGTTGTTGTTTTGTTGTGTCTGGACGTCATTCTGTGAGAGAACTGATGTAGCCGAAGATGAACTATCAAAATAATCGATCTGGGTTCCACCAGCATTGAGATACTGTTGTGATGCAAAAAATCCAAGGTTCTGACTTTTGGATATGCTCAACGAAGGCTTAATATTGGGTTTTTGCTGCAAATCTTTAACTAGGTTACCATTTGAAGAGATTGTCCCTAAATTATTACTTGAACTCAACAAACCAGTAGAAGACTGAGCTATCTCGTCCCCCGGTGTTATACTTTGATTGCTTCTGCCAGTCATTATGGACTGAATTGCACTCGAACAGTTGTTCGTGGATGGTGAAGTGGAACAAGATGGAGCTTCATCGGTCACTACAGACTGGCAATTGATTATTCCACCAGTCGACAGCTGATTGTTCATCGGGTTTAACTTGCTCCCCATTTGTCCAGGAATTTCTGATAGTATTCCAGATTGTTGATGTCGTAGTTTCTGTTGTTGAGGTGGATGGGCGAATCGAATATTAGTTTGACTATTACTTCTTGTCATCTGCTGGGGTATAACATGTGACTGAGGGAGCGAAGAGGATGTTGCTTGAGATCCATCGAGCATTTGGCTAGTCAACACAGACGTACAGAAGTTCTGAGAAACATCTGAAAGCTGCTTCTGCTGGTCCTGGAATTGAATTAGTTGGGAAGGAGGCTGTTGAATGGAAGATTGCTGCGCTTGAAGTGGTGGTTGTTGCTGATGAAGCTTCTGCAGAAGTTGAATTTGAATTTGATTTTCAGGCACGTGCAACTGTTGGCTTATATGATCCGTATGGGACGACATGAAATTTTGCTGCTGGTTCAGATTTTGCGGAAGATTTCCATGAAGCTGATGATTTACGAGAGATTGTTGAATGACATTCTGAGCTTGGGTAGGACTCTGCATATGCAAAAGTTGGGCCTGAACTTGGCTTGTAGGTGAAGTTTGATTGATTAAATTTTGTCCAGATGGTTGTCTAGTGTCCGTTAACTGTTGCTGTGGCTGTAGAGTAGAGTCCAACGGGTTCAATGTGGCGGTCGACAGCTTTTGGAACTGATCTAGTTGATGTATGGGTTGGGCCAGCCTTTGAGTATTGAACTGTAAGTTGTTTAGCTGAGAAAGTGATGCTGGCAAAGCTAACTGACGAGAAAGATCTGCACCAGAAATGTTTTGCATAACAGATCTCGACGAGGGATTTAAATAGTTAGGCTGCATAGAGTTAGCCAGAGAAGCATTTTGCTGCATGTTCATCCATTGGACTAAGCTCAGACCAGGTATAGCTTGGGGATCCTTCATCCCATAGTCTTCCCCAATCCATGGCATTGATCTTCTGATTAGATTATCTAGATCAGACGAGTCGTCATCTGCAAGGAGAAACATAATCAATATTTTAAAACAGAAGAGAGAAATGTAATTGGTTATTATCTTTCCTCCTGTGTTACCTGCCATTCCTGGTTGCCTTGGCCGCTTAGAATGGAAGAAAGGTGTAGGCGAGCAAATAAAAAATGGAGTAGTTACAGGTTCAATCTCCCAACTGGAGACACGATTACGCTTTTCCCCAGCAGCCGACTCGTCCCAACCAACCTGCTCATAAAATATGATGTGTTGGTCGAATTATCAACTCGAAACACTAGCGATAAAAGTATAAAGGAAAAGTGAGTGCATATTTCACGAACCTGCAAATTACGCCATTGGGAGTTCTTCCATCTAACAGGATCTAGGTCACTAATACCAGTTATTGTACCCATATATCTGCAAAAATCATATTCGATCAGTTTGAGTCAAACAACACGACGACAGTCCACAAATTTTGATTCCTCATACCTTCTTGTACTCGAATCTTCAGTTTCAAACATCATGCGAAAGCGCATGCCAAGAGA